AGAGTTATCGGGACTAGCGCAAACCTGGCTGCTATCACTCCTATTCGTGTCGTACCTCAAGCTTCACAACCTTTTATAGAGCTTTTTAACAAGCATCATAAACTCGTTTGCGTACTGAACGACTTTCCTCCTGTGACGTCAAACGTCATGCATCACATTTGCATTAACGGCCCACCTGTTTCGGCCCGCCTTCGCAGACTAGCCCCGGACAAGTTCAACGCTGCTAAGGCGGAATTCGAATAAACAATCGAACTGGGAATAATCCGCTCGTTCAGAAGTCCATGGGCATCACCATTACACATGGTACTGAAGGAATCCGGTGACTGACGCCCCTGTGGTGACTACAGGGCAATTAACAATGTTACCGACCTAGATAAATACCCCATTCCGCACATGCACGACTTGACCTCAGCTCTAGCTGGTAAGCATATTTTTAGCAAAATCGACCTCGTTCACGCCTACCATCAGATACCTATCGCGCCAGAGGACATTATTAAAACAGCAGTCATTACGCCATTCGGCCTATTCGAGTACCTCAGAATGCATTTCGGCCTCAGCAACGCTGCCCAAATTTTTCGGCTTTTCATTCCTAAGGTAACACGAGGACTCGAAGGCGCTTATCTTTATCTAGATGACATTCTCATCGTCAGCTCTTCTGACGAGGAACATTTTCATCACCTCGACGTTTCTTTCAACACTTAACACAGCATAGGTTTATGGCCAACCTTGATATACGCGGGCTTGGCCAAAACTCTATCCGCTTTCTTGGCCACCGAATATCCGCCTCTGGTATTGAAGCTCTGCCAGACAAAATCCAGGCACTGAAGGACTATCCTGCTCCCAGTTCCTTCAAACAGTTACGCCAATTCCTTGGCCTGGTCAACTATTATAGACGCTTTATTCCTAACTGCGCGGGCATTGTTCAACCAATGACTGATATGCGCCGCAGTAAACAACGGTCTTTTCATTTTGCAGACGACATTAGACTGCCTTTTGAGAAGCTCAAAGACGCTATCTCCAACATAGCGCTTCTCGCCCATCCAGACACATCTGCACCACTCTCGCTGACAACTGACGCATCCGACACTGCCGTCGGTGCAGTTCTTCAACAACTCATCAACCAGTGATGGATACCTCTAGGTTCCTTCTCGAAAACTTTGCAACCTGCCGAATCGCGTTAGGGCACGTTCGGTAGGGAACTGTTAGCTATCTATCTAGCTATCAGTCATTTCCGTCACTATCTCGAAGGTCGACATTTTACAGTCTTCACTGACCACAGGCCACTGATCTACGCAATCAGTGGCAAAACGGACAAGTATTCTTCGCGGAAGACTAGACACCTAAACTCCGTTTCTCTGTTAATGACAGACGTATGTCATATCTCAGGTGCTCTTAATCCCGTCGCGGATGCGATTTCACGCATTCAGCAGATCAGCTTATCGCCTGGCACCAACATTAATCTAGTCGCTATGGCTGCTGTCCAACAAGCTGATCCCAGCATAGACAAAATACGACGCAACACCTCGTTGAAACTACGCGAAGTTCCACCAGCTTCATCTGATGGGACCACACTTTGTGACGTCTCACGAACTTTATCTCGACCCGTAGTTCCTGCTTCGATGCGTCGACTAATTTTCAACGCTTTACACAACCTGTCTCATCCCGGCAAACGTGCTTCGCAGAAGCTCGTAACCGAACGCTTCGTGTGGCCCAACGTCAATCGCGATGTCCGCCTTTGGGCACGCGCATGCTTAGAATGTCAGCGCGCAAAGGTATACAGACACACCAAAAACCCACTTGGCGTCTTTCCCCCTCCTGACTCTCGTTTTGCACACGTCCAAGTCGACCTGCTCGGACCTTTTCCTCCATGCAATGGCTACGTGTACCTCCTCACTTGTGTCCACCGATTCACCCGTTAGCCAGAGGCGATTCCGATAGTCAACCGCTCATCTGAGACAGTTGCGCGATCTTTCCTAGAACTCTGGGTAGCTCAATTCGGTTGCCCAAGCGTAGCCATCACTGACAGAGGCTCACGCTTTGACGGTACCTTCAGCAAACTGCTCAACTTTCTTGGTTGCCAAAATGACCGAACCACCGCACACCATCCCGCAGCTAATGGGATAGCAGAGAGGTTCCACCGGCAACTCAGTGCATCACTCTGTGCACCATCTGGCACATCCTGGCACGAAACACTTCCGCTCGTTCTCTTAGGCATAAGAAACAGGATTAACATGGATTTGCACGCCACTCCATCGTCGCTACTCTTTCTATGCACGCAACGCTTACCTGGTGATGTCGTCTCACCAAAAAAGCCAACAACCTTCGACTATGGCGACTACGCAGCTCGCCTATCTCATAACTTGCGACAGCTTCAGCCTGTGTAACCCAGAGCACAGAGCTTGCGTACCAACGTGGACAAACGCTTAACCACTTGCACGCACTTGTTCGTTCGCACTGACAGCGTACGTCGGCCACTTTAACCACCTTATTCTGGTCCGTAGCTTGTCATACGCAGATGCGACAAGACCTTTACCATTGACTACAATGTTAAAACTGAAGCAATCAACGTCGATCGACTCAAGCCAGCATTCCTCGACAAGTCTGACTCTTCGCTGCAGTAAGCACCTTCACATCCTGCGGCATCACAGCTCCCACCGCAACCTTAGACGAGTCAGTTCGCTCCAGCAGAACCAACAACCTCAAATGACAGCACTCCTACTCGCCCTACTATCAGTCGACGCAGTAGGAAGCCCAAACCTTTAGTTCGTTTTCCGGACTTCGTTAGCACTTACTATTTTACGCAGAACATGCGTCTGAAATTTTCTGCTCTTACCAAACATTTACGAAAATCCACTAAAAAAGATCAAAACTTTTTGCAACTACCAAAAAGAGCAAAAGCTTTTGAAAACCCAAAAACAGCGTTGAATGTTTTTCGCTTTGCACTCTTTTGTTTATTGCTATGCATTTACGCTGCCTTTTCATTTTGCTTTCCATATACACCGCCGGTTGGTTGCATCTCGGATTCACTTTTCGCTGGATCGTTGCAGGTCAACTGGAAGTGGAACGAAATTCCTGCTCAACCGCATACGTGAACTTTACTAACTGTCCCCCACAAACAGTTTCTACCGTTTCGACACCGTAGGGACTACATTGTTCGGGCCCGCTAGGGTCCGATTGCATGGTTCTCCTCCAGCAGCTGCATCAGGTTTTGCAACCTGGTCTCGGAGAAGGCTGGCCGGCGACGGACAGTCCTCACGTAGATCGAAGGACTGCTTACACAGTCTCTTTTGGAAGAGGGCTATGTAGAAGTCTGGAGATTCCCCGGTTTGCCTCTGTAAAATTCTAACTAAAATTATTTCATTGTACACCTAGGCAATCGGTGTGTCTTGTTTAACTGATTGTTGAGTTCGAATGCATGACTTGCTCATCGTCATCTTTGCTTGGCACTGGTTCAGTTGCAATTTGCAACTACCCTGTGTGTTGTGCATGCTCCGTTTCCCTAGCTAGAGCGTCCACGGTGTCGTTCCTTTAGAGTTAGTTAATAGGGTATCTTCTATCGCACCAATAGAAGTTTCCCTTCAACTCTTTCTGCCTTTTCGAATCGCTTCGGGCTCCCAGTACAGGCGACTCTCGTAATGGGAAACTACTATGCGCAAATCACATAAGTTGCTAGGAAAGTAACCAAGCTATTTTACTAATTTCGGTTATTGCGCAAGTGTTTGTCAGTTACTAGTATCAAGTGACATTGTTTTGCGTTGACACAAAACTTTTCAACTTGATGTGAATGAAGAATGCAAATACGTAATTTGATCAACTGTTGAAGCTACCAAGAGCGTTGAACTACAGTAGTTGAGAAAACAGTAAATTGAGAATGCTAAATGTGTTTCCATGAAGGAAACATTATTCTAGACCAAATAACATGAAAAAAGTAAGTTTATTTACGCAGAATATTTGATGAGCTAGCTTTCAGAATTATGTGCAGATTTTCTTCCCTGATATGTGTTGAATTTGCAGTGTTGTACATCCAACGGATTATCAAATATAAGTAGGCTAAAACTTCACTAGGCTTATCGGATTGTGTGTTACGGATTTGCACAGGATGCCACCAGACTAGCTGCGGTTCTCATCTATCCATTATGGTTTTTCCCAAAGGAATTATCCTTGTAAATTTATTATACATAGGGAGGCATTTGCATTTAGGGATCCTGCAAACCAAGTCCAAATTTGTATTTTGGCTTTTTGCTCTGAACTCTTGGTGGGTCACGTTATGTTATGAAGAAACATTACATTATTGACACATATTCTGGAGAAGTTCAGTATTGGGTCCGTTGCAATGGCTGTTTGTAGATTATTCCGATGTGGTAAATATGTCAACCATAATTTTGCGCTACACTGCAAGCAGCTGAACAACTGTGTCAGTTTGAGAATTTTAAATCCAAATATGTTATTATAACTGAGCCTCAAAACAGTTGTAGATGGACATCTTTTAGGTCACTTAAATTCCTATAAGCTAAAGTAAATTCACCAAAACATCACCGATCTCACCTGCTAAAACCATGATTAATGTACGAACTAAATAATCCGAGTAACATGCAAGTATCTGCAGATTATCTTACAGTTAGTATTTAGTTGAAGTCATTGTATTCACAAACAACAAACTCAAAAGAAATGATCCTTCATGGCTTATTAATCGGTATGTTTCGGCTTAGCGAGCCACTATGGAAGAACATTAATTTGCTTCAGTAATTAAATGAAGTGGATAACTTCTGACAGCGTGCGATGATGTGTCGCGTTTGTATTCCTGAAGTGGACTGTGACTCTCTGATTTGGTTATTACACCAGTCTGTGGTTTGACATTTTCCAGGTAGATTAGAAGTGTGTCTGGAAATCGAAATGTCTATGCAAGAAAGTTGACCTTGAGGAATTCACTGTGCTAACTTGTGCAATGGACTACACTGGTTACTGCAAGGGGATGATTGTTCTTTGGTGTCATTACTCACTTGGTCACTATTTCGTGCTCGTCACGTAGCATTTGCAAGTCAGTAGACGGTTCACACAAAGACAAATCGCATGCTTTGCACACCATACTGAATACCAATTTGCAAAATCGTCAGCTTTTAATATTCATCTTCAGCAAAAGTTATGACATCACCTTTTATCATTTTTATTTAAAATATGCGAAATCTCTGTAAATAGCAAGAATTTGATCAGAGATATCTAGGTGGTTTCAAGTCAGGAATTCGCTTTTATGCAACCAGGAATGGTAAATGTTCAGCAGTAACACACACTCGATCGGAAATGCAAAGCAAAACAATATACTATATACAATAACAGTAAAAAACGGCGGCTAACACAATGTTTCAGGTGTGGTATAGAATCATTAACATAATTAATGTTTAGTTTTTGTGATAATATTTGAATCAATCAGCAATCTAATTAGCTAATGTATGACAGATGACAAATATAGCTCTGTGCTATCGTCGCTTTGAGAGAAAAGATTTACAGTTGCCTTAAACGCCGTGTGAAGTACAGCTAATATAAATAAGTGTTTTTGAAGCAAGTTTTGAGCATGAATTAACGTGAACAAATACAATACCTGGACTAAGCTTGGGTTAGAATTGCCGCTGCATGGAGATACGTGTTTTAGCGACCCATGAAGCAGTTTGTAATGACTACCAAATAGGCCCGGAAAGCTCACAGCAGAACAGTAGATCTAGTGTGATAGAACCCATGCAATGAATAATGACTTTATGCGGATTAAGAAGCATTGCTTGTCAAGTTCTGCTGGATATTTGGTAGCGATATCAAAATAGTAATAATATAATAATAAAATTGAAAATAAAAGCGTTAGGAAATTAGAAATGAAAGGGAGGAATTATCATTCGTTTCTTCGTAGTCCTGTATTCCGCTTAGAATCACAGAACCAGTAGATACCGTCAAATAAATTCATGCCAAAATCCAGATGTAGGATGGAGACGTAGCGGTGAGTGATAAAGTGTAAGTGGATGATTGTGTCATCCAACTGTCCTTTAACTACTATTGGTGTCGGTGCAGAGAAACCTATCCCGGGAGAACATGTTACTCTTAACAGGTACGAATGGAAAAGAAAATTTGTGGTATCCCAGACGCCTATAACGCAAAGCGAGTTTCAATAAGTAACCCTTCAGATTTGTATTGGTGCTGAGTTGCAGTAAATAGCGGCACATATGATGTGGGTCTCGCAGAAGCAAGTATGTAATTAGCAGATCGCCCCGTAGTCCGCAAAACTTCTCCTGCATACCTCCAATCGTTGCAGCTTCTACCGGTGTGAAAGATTGCGCATTCCAATTGCGTTCTTACATTCCCGACGTTTTGACTGCTCCAGTGCATAAACATCGTGTTTTAGCCATGGACGCCATGCTTGAATTGCGTATCCGACATGGAGGCGAACATACGCAATGAGCATTTGTCAAAATATGGAGCTGTTTATTTGTCCAAACTCTTGTCGTAACAGCCCGACTTGTTGGTTCCCAGTCTTAGAGGCTTCTTCTTATTGCGTGGAGCTACCCAAGTCATCTTGAACTAGGACACCTAAGTCACGTTCGAGAGTTGATTGTTGCAGCACATGTGTTCCGAGCCGGTATGAGTAACTGTTCTGATGTTGGGTGGAAAGTACATTTAATCTGCTGTGGTGGAAATGCAGTACATTTTGGGTAGACTATTCATACACTGTGTCTAGGTAACTCTGAAGCAGATGCTGGTCGGCGTTCAACTGGATCCCTAGCCAAATCTTGTTATCATCCGTAAACATTAGGAAGTTTGAAGCTATTCACTGTGCAAAGTCATTAAGAAACACCAAGAACAAATGTGTACTTAATACCTAGCCTTTCGGTACACCACACACTTGTCGTTGAAGTAGAAATTTGGCAGTCCAGCTTAAAATTGGGTCCCCGATCCAGTAATGTTGCAGCTTGGAGAGTAGTGTCCGATGGTCTAGAGTAGGTGTTACGAATACTTTTGAAGCAGTTACCCCCAGAGGGTTCACTTTAAGCAGTTAACCCCAAAACTTTCCAAAGCCAATTAGCTAGCAACTACTGCATGTTTGCTTTAAATTGCGGCAAATGCATACCATACGTAATTAATTTCGATCATGCAAATAAACGGGACCCCCATTGTATTGTGAAGAAAATCCACGAGTTTCTTTCATTAATTACCACGTTTAAAGTATTCTTGCTGATGTCCTGAACTCGACTTTGATGTTGTTGTTGGAAAGCGATATCATAATTGTCCTTAACACATGTTGATGGGCACAGGCGAATCTTAACTTTTTTGAAGTTATCACCAATGGGTTTGCCATAATCAAACCGCCCCCAATTTCTGTTTCAAACGCTAACTTACGAATAACTCTCTCGCTGTTTGCTTCTAAGTACGGAAACTGACGGTTATTTAGAATAACGGTGGATCAATAAAAGAAAGAAAACCGTTATTTTTTACAACATGATAAGTAATCAAGAGGCGATATATATCAATGGGACGGCTGGTATTGTTTAGTGCTAACAATTTCTGGTATATTTGGTGCGGGTTCTGCTAATCGACATAGGAATTCATGCTCCAGATTGATTCGACTCCTTGCTATTATTTTCATTGAAACCATTGTCGAAAATTCACTTTCACATCTATCGGATTTTGCAAATGAGATCAATATTCTCGATGCTCTTTCCGACAGCAGTGGATACCCACCACCTGCCGTTATCCAAAATGCTATCAATGGTGTGCATTGGAAATCTATTTTTAATTCGTCATCTTCGCACATAATTAGGAATTGTGCTTTGGCTTCGATAGCCGTATCGGGAAAGATTTCTTCATCCATTGAATAGGATCTCAGCATCTAGGCATTAATTGGTGATTTTTCAAATCAGGAAAATCTTTGCCAATGGAATGGACTATTGATAACGTGGCAAGTTATATCAAGTTATATCAAATAGCCAATTTGGATGACGAAATGATGCGTTAAAACAAACCGGTGAACCTCCATGGTAGAAAGAAAGTCTGCAGTCATGAACGGCTACAGATGCATACCTGTATTTTACATTCACCTCCAACACCTCCCTCCCGTAAAAGCCATTTACCTGGAAGTCACATTACTCTTCGGACGAGAGGACCCATCTGGGTCCAAATGCATCCAACACTAAGGTAGTTCGAGCTACGAACAAGTGTGTAGTGCCGTTCGTTCTAATACGTTGTCAGCACAGGAGTATTCGGAACCTCTATCCCTGAGCGAGGATAACTTCGGAATTCCTTCCACTTTAGACATCTTAATGTTCCCATGTGCAAATAATTTCCAGGCGTTGCATTATCTTGAGTATTTGTTCACAGGCTATTACTCTGTCTGGATGTAACAGTACCCGTGGAGTATTTTGGGCCATGAATTTGGTTAATTTGACCGAATTCAAGTCAATTTTCGTCCTTATCGATCGGGAAACGATCGTGCTAGCAGACACTGTTTGTGCTTGTAGGGATATGGGAACATAATCGCGTTTCATTGTCAGACGTCTTCTCTTCCCTGCAAATACTGATGCATCGTGGAATCTGGTCCTTTTCGGTTTCCAGCTTTCCTGCACCCCTGGACTACTCACGCACCAGAATTTGCGTCCTTCTTGAGAGTAAGGAATTTTGTAGACGCAATCTCTCACTGTTTGCCTCTCACCACCGTTCCAAAATGCTGTCGGGGGCTTCCAGTCCGGCACATTGCAGCTCAAATGTTGGCCACTTATAACTGCATGATATGATTAGGATTCTGTTCTCGAATCTGAGACTTCAATCATTTTTGTGTCGTTGTTCAAATTGCGCAGCCTATGGCATTCAGCTTCAATTTCGTGTGATTCCAAAATGGGTTCTCTTCCCCAATCCACTTGCATGTGCATTTATTTTCTGATAACAACTCAAATAACTGCGGTTGAGAGCTTTCAAAATGTAATTGCTGCTGCTGGAAGAGGGATTGCAACTGCTAGAATGAAATAGCCATGAGTATTCAACACCTCCGTCGCCTAAATATCTGTTGTGTCGGAGCCCGCAACTGCTTCCACCCACTAATATTAGTGAGAACACGAACAATCAGTGACAGAGATTCAAGGGTTGTTTACATAGGGAAACCAGTTCGTTATATATCATAACGCACAAATATGAAAGCCAACCAGGGTGCGGAAAGCAAGCCGAAAATTGAAGCAAATAAGAACGGAACAAATGGGGAAACAAGCAAGTGCACACAAAAGACATAATTTGAGAGTGGTAGCGTCAAAGTATGCCTGCGATCTGAAGGCAAAAACAACGACTACAAATAGCCAATAGGGATGATGAAATGACGCGTTAAAACAAACCAGTGAACATCTATGTTAGAAAGAAAGTCTGCAATCATAAACGGCTACAGATGCATGTCTGTATTTTACATTCACTTCCATTAGAAAGCGCATGTTTCATTTCGTTCAACGAGCACCATTGATAGTTCTGAACAACGACGCATTGTTAGCTGTTGCTCTAGGTTGGTGAAGCTGTATTTTACGAAGAAAACTGGCAAACTTATCCTGAGTAGTTAAAATAATAACCATATTTCCTAGCAAGCTGAGGTTCAGTGCATTTGATTCTCCGAAGAAATCTGAAAGTTAAGCTAGCTTGAAATAAATACTGTGTCTGTTATCATGACGTATAACCCGTTCACCTTACCCTTGTGTAAGTACTTTCTTCGAGAAATATTGCAATTAATGAGTAGTGAGGATTTTTGGTATAATGCAGCTAATTCATCATCGCCCACTCCCAATCAGCAGGACTAGGCTAATCTGGAAAAGCACCAGACGCCGGCGTTTCGACCTTTTGGGTCTCGTCAGTGGTGCGCCTCCCAGCGGAACCCTGCCGGATTCCGCCCCCATGACTTCTGGATGCCAGTAGCTAATGCCACTTCGCCATGGGTGACAGCCGTAGACCTGCGTGATTGGCAGTTGACTATGATATAGCCCGGCTCATCTTCCACTGCCATGCCAGTTACGAACTGTGCAGAGGACAATGGTTAGCCTCACGAGCTGGGACTTTCCGCATAGCGCCAATGCACAGCAA